CGAGATTGCTGACCGTATCTACGCACTGACATACCAGGCGGCCCTGACTGCATGCCTCTACGAGTCGCAGAAGGAAAAGCCAGCCAGTGCTGAGGACAAGGAGCTCAAGAAGAAGGCGGACGAGGCCAAAACGCAGTTTGTTGCTGCACTCACGGCCAAATGCCAAGCATTTTCTCTGCTTGCCATCGAGGAGCCTGCGCCGTCGACCAGACCTGAAGCAGATATTGACGCAGACCCTAATACCAGCCTCAACCACAACTCCGATACCGGTTCTGATGCAAGCGTTGTCTTGGTGAACGTCGATGACTCAATCAAAGATTCCACGGCCAAGGATTCGCACTCGGCTGTTGTGAAGGACTATGAAAAGGCTGTCAAGGAGCTCGAGCAGTGGACAAGCAACAATAAGAAGGAGGATATCGGCTACTTGCTAGCCACGGTTCCTTTGCATATTTCCAAGAATCAATACGCGCAGGCACTGATTCCTGTGCTCAAGTGGCTAGGCAGCGCACCCTATCTTAGTTCTAATTCCAGCGAGCGTCGGGCTGCTGCTGATCTGCGCAACCAGCTTCTCGATAGGCTCCAATGGAAACAATGGTCTGATTACTTCCGCTCCATTGCGCCTATTGAATCACCTGCGACCTATGAGCGTGTTCACTAAGCTATCATAGATCCATTTGCGTATTTTTTTTATCTAATACTTGGTGCATGCATACCGCCAGTTATTTTGAGTGTATTTTAATGTGCAAAATAAAACAAAGTATTTGAACTAGCAGTTCTACCGAAGCACGACTTTTCGTATTTTTTGCTTTTTATTTTAGGCTGGACCAACATTGAGTAAAGTAAACGGCACAGCTCAAAATGTATGGAAATAAACCCCTGCAAAATAAAAGTGGCAATATCTCTTGAACAAGCTGATATCCATCAGTACAGAAAGATGTTCTGGGAGCATGTCATATTGATTGGAATAGTTAAGAAGCAGGTATATAAATGGGCACAGGCTCACATGTTGTTGTGCTCTTGGTAAGCACCTCAATTTTAACTCGATAATAAACAAAATAAAACTAGTACCCGTTCAAACCACTTTAGCCACATGTTTTACATTTGAGGTAATCATGGATAGCGCCGATTCGAAAACTGCAAACCAGTGCACCAAACTTCAATATATGCAACCGTTGTTTTGCCCTTTCTGTCCTTTTACCTGCCTTAGTATGATCTTTTTAGAAACACACATTAGTTTATTCCACAGAGATTGCTACGAATAGCGACACTATTTCAATATGTACCAGGCATTATTGAGCGTTTTTTGCGATATAAATTTATTTTTTATTTTGGGCCGGGGAAGGTCATAACTATAGTTCCCAAAATGCAAGTCGATAAAATCACCGCCAATAACAAATGTGTGCTAGTATGCAATGCCAGCGATACATGTTTTATTTACTACTTGTCACAGCTATCCTATAATATACAATAATATATGCTATGTCTAGCTCAACATCCAATACACTACTAGCCAAAAGGCACAAAGCAGAAGCCCCGGCAAATGCACAATCGAGTGCCCCGACCAGGAATCTAAAAACCCCGCCTGTCGTAGGCGATGGCCGCTGCCATTTTTTCGTAGCAAAAAAGGCACGCTACTGCCCCTTCTCCACCAAGGGCGACAACATATACTGTGGCGAACACAGGGTGCTGGCGACAAATGCACAGTCGGCAGCAAGCGATAACACAAACACCCGGGTGCCCTGTCCCTACGACCCCTCCCACTCGGTCGATCTCAACAAACTCAAAAAGCACATGTCATCGCTGTGCAATGCTCGGCCGCCCACAGTACGGCCTGCCTTTGTCAAGCCCGACTGCAACACAACGCTATTGCCACCCGATTACACCGATTCAGCATCATTCGAGGAGCATGGCCGCCTGTGGAGCGAAGAGGGTCTGGCCAGAGCAGACACCCGGCTGATGGTCAAGCCTGGCGAGCAAGTGTATCTGGGCGCTACCTTTTCCAAGACGTTCGGTGATCTGGGCTCAGTATCCGAAGATAGGTCTGCCGAACAGCTCTTGGACGAGGCTACAAGTAAGCGACTGCTGAGGCCCGTTGTTGTCGATTACCTGCGCTCAGTCGGTGCTCTGCCAGAGAACTGGCAGCAATTGACGCTCAAAGACCTTTTAGAGCTGGTTCGGCCGTCGGAGGAATTCGAGGTGGATATCTGCAGCCACGAGGCAATAAACAAGCGCAAGCACGGAAAGGCAAATCCCAAGCATGGGCTCCAGCAGGCATCCCTTCTCGGTCATTTAGAAAAGCGGGGGCTGCTGGACCCCAAATACGCCTTTGTGGAGTTTGGGGCCGGGAAGGGCGAGCTCTCGCTGATTGTGCACATTGGTCTGACGACAAAGGTGCGCGAGAGCGGGACCACCGTGTCAAAAAGCGACATATTCCTCGTCGACCGAAAGAACTTTCGTCAAAAATTCAACATTGACGATCACGCTGACAATGAAAGTGCGGGTGGTAGGCATCAAGAGTTCCAGCGCATCTACATTGACATTCGAGACCTCGACCTGGCAAGCGTCGAGGGCCTGCAGGTCACTGATCCGGATACAGGAATCACTACTCTGCGTCCAATAGTCGCCTACTCTAAACATCTGTGCGGCGCGGCCACCGACCTGACTATCAAGTGCCTTGAGCGGTACCAGCAGGCAGGTGGCCATGTGGCTGGAATAGCCATTGCGCTCTGCTGCCACCAGGTGTGCAAGTACTCGATGTTTGTCGATCACCGCTATCTCTCTCGAGCAACTACTTCGGAAGCGCCGGGTAAATGGTGCTCCAGGCAGCGCGAGGAATTCAGGTACCTCGTCACAATGTCTAGCTGGGCGATAAACTCGCCTCGCCCCGCCACTGAACCCGCGGAGTCTACTGAGCAGCCGCAAGGCGATGTGGAGGAAGTGGCTGAGGGGCATTACTCTGGGCTCTCGTACGAGCAGCGAGTGTGTGCAGGGCACGCGGTAAAGAGGTTCCTGGACATTGGGAGGGTGCACTATGTGCAAAAGGCCCTTGGCATGGACTGTGCAGAGCTTGTTTACTACACATTGCGCTCAACATCGCCAGAGAACCTTGCGCTTCTGGCTAGCAGAGAATAAATTATTTCTTGTTCTATTTTTAAATGTAAACGGTCCAGAATAGAACGAATAGAAGCATCCGGGATATGCGCGAGCTGACTTGAAGCATGCACGCGCTTGGGAGTTGTAAAGAAAGGATCGCTGTTTATTTTTCACGTCATTGCATATTGACCGCGAGGAGCAAGCAGTATTTTCTTTTGCAAATAAGAGTGCAGACCGGACCACATTTTCCGTGTTCTCACTGAGACCGCGTGTTGCGCAGATTATTATTGAGTATTTTCTTTGCGTCGATCGCTGCTCATTTTCTAGATACGCAAACTGGCTGTTTATGCCTGGCTATCGGCTCCTTATTCTATACATACTTTGACACTAGTCATTTAAGCTAAATAAAGAAACGCTGCCTGCGGACTTGTACGCTCATACTCCTTTTTTCCTGTCGTTCGCTTGCTTCTTGCTGGTATTAAATACCCTGAGCTTTTCTTCCATTTTACTCAGCACGTATACCTTTTTGCGTTCCTTTTCATCTATCACGCTTATTCCTCAATACCATTTTTCCGAGCCCCGTCTCCTTCCTCCAACCACTACCACTACACATATACACTCTATCCCTCCTTACTTTAAACGCAATCATGAAGTTCTCCGTTTCGGCTTTTGTCTTCTGCGCTGTGCTGGCCACCGCAACTGCCAGGGCCCAGCAGGTCGATGCCGGCGATGGCTCTGTCGACAACATTGGTGATGCGCTGGTCATCCAGAACACCCGCTTGGCCAGTCCGGCTGAGGCTACCACGAGCTCGGCCCCCGACTCTACCAACACAACTGAAAAGGGTGATAACAAGGGTGACACCACGGGCGACGATAACACCAACAAGAGCACCGAGAACGGCGCCGACAACGGTACTAAGGGACGTGATAGCGAGGCTGTCGACGATACCAAGAAGGATGATGCCACCACTGCCGAGGCTGTCACCAGCTCTGCCCCCGTGGGCTCTGTCGGCGATTCAGCTCTTACAATCGTGAATAACAGGCCCGCTGTTGACTCGGGCTCTGTAGCGGGCGACTCTACAAACCAGTCTGGCTCATCATCTGGCTCCAACTCGGGCTCCAGCTCGGGCTCCAATGCCAACGCTGGTTCTGCGGACTCGGGTGCTGTCGATTCCGGAAACGCCGCTGACACTGGCTCTAGCACTGGCTCCAACTCTGGCTCCAACTCTGGCTCCAACTCCGGTGCTAACTCTGGATCCTCCGGCAACGACACTGTGCCCTCTGGTGCCTCGGCTGCCTCTGGCTCCGGCTCCGGCTCCGGCTCCGGCGCTGCCGCTAGCGGTGATGATTCTCTTGAGCTCGGTGACGTCTCTGACGATATCAACGTTAGCGGCTCTGATATCTCCGACGATGAGGACAGCGACGAAGAGTCTGGCTCTGCCGGTGGTCACAAGCACAACAGTGACGAGGAGGATAGCTCCAGCGGTGCTGGTTCCATCTTCTCCGCTGTATCCCTTTCTGCACTTTTCGTTGCCGGTGTTTCTGGTGCCCTTTTCTAAACGTAAGCGTAGTAGCTTTAACATTTACATTAATGAACACCAATTACGTATAATTTTCTTTTTAAACGAATGCATTCTTGAAACATTTACACCGCTCCCCTGGGCTAATTTACTGCTATGTTTTTCTAGAATAAAAATAATAAGCAGTGTTATATGCACAAAGTTGCGTCAAATACCCGTTACTGCTCAGTCTATACTGACGGATAGGCTTCATTTCTTTTAGAGTTTCTTATTGTTGCGCTGCGTTGCGTTGTAGACAAAGGCTAGCGTAGATTCAAGTAGCGCAAAGAAAACCGGAAATAAAAATTTGTGATTGGATGAATTTACGCACGAATTTCTGAGTCTCATGCCTGCTTGGCCAAGTGGTAAGGCGTCAGTCTTGTACCTTCTACGTGGCAACACGTGAGAATGCAAATAAACTGAAGAGCGCTGGTTCGATCCCGGCAGTAGGCACTCTTTTTGATCCTTGCGATGATGCTATTTTTTATTGATTTTCATTATTTGATATTCGGTAGCAGCAGAGTTCTATCAAATGCTCAGTGTCTCGGTCTCGTCTAGGTAGCCAGGCATGTCAACTAGGAAAAACTGTGCGCGATCGATGCCGATATTTTTGATCGTGATCTCAGACCCGGGACTGACGTCTTGTAGATGTATACCGTCGCCGTTGCTGAGCTGGATTGAACCCGGGAGCATCAGACGGGCACCGCCGTCTTTCAGGCCACCCTTTTTGGTAAAGTCGCTTAGTAGATGTATGTAGATGCTGCGTGTCTTGCCGGGCTTGAGAACATGAGACTGCGCACAGGGAGTATTGGAGCGCTGATGTTGGGCAATATTTGTTCTTTTGTTGGCAAGAGCGCTGGTGGTTGAGATGGTGGCGGAGCGACGAATGGTTCTGGGTGTTTCAAACATGGGAGGTTCCTTTGCGTTTTTTGCGGATGGCTTGGTTGTATGGCATATGGTCGAGCACGGAACAAGACGGCACAGATAGATATAGACGTCGCTGTCTAGCTTGAACACCGGGTTGCCTGGTTTGGCAGTTAGTGTGGGGAGTTGAGCGATTTCGTTTTGCGAGTGTTTGTATATGGCGAAATCAGGGCTAGGGGCTGCCAAAAGACATAAACGGTTGAGACGTTCGTGGGGCGGCACATACATATCTTGGATCCAGGGCTTAGTTAATGGCAAGCTGGCCTTGATCCAAAGCTCGGCACCAATACACCAAAAACCGCGGTCATCGTCTGCTCGACATCCCCTGCGTATACCGGTGCCCGAGTATGTGCACTGTACATGATGTTTTTCTATTTTCCTATTGATTGATTTGCCAGCATAGTCTATGGTATCCACGAAATTATTTGTACTAACCAGACTTATTGCGATAACGCCACTGATTTTATCTTTAGTGATTGAGCCATTTCGTGGCACCCATGCTTCAAATACACCTTTGAGCCTACCAACACCTTCATCGTCTAGAGGAGTGAGTGCCTCGCTAGAAAATGCGGTTTTGAATATACGCGCGGCTCCCAAGTTGACTATATAACGGTCGATGGAGCTGTATGATTGATAGGCGGTGTAGGGAAGGATGTTGAACATGTCACAATGTGGTTTCTTTTTGTTTGTGGTTGACTGTGCACCTGGGTTTGGTCGTGGTTTTTTAATATTGTGTTTCTCATCACTCGACCTAGGTGATGTTGTGGCATCTGACACATCGCTTGTGGACTTGTCATTTACTGTGGAGTTGTTTGTTGTATTCCGGCGAAACAGAGAAAGCAAGGACTCCCTTAGCCGACCCATCATTACACAGAGAGCTTTAAAGATATTAAGTGTAGTGTAGAAAAAAATAACTAGAGGATAAAAGTAGTATAAATATTATATTATATATTGGAGAAGCAAAAAGTAAAAGGTTTGGCTGCTTTGGCTAGTCGGATGATTTCAAGGCAACCAAGAATTTTTTTTTCTCCTATGTCATTTCATCTGGCAATAAGTAAAGGGGCGGGAGATGTTCTAGACAAAGCAGGGATTGATTTATTCAAAAGGCAGAAAACCCAGTCTTGTGACATGATTTTCTATTCACTATAGCACGGGCCAATAAGGATTTTCAAATTAATTACTTTTGATTCAATAAGGCGGATAACGCCCAGAGTAGAGCCGGTAAATAAATAAATGGCTAACAAGCGGTTCAAAAGATAAAGCAACAACAAAAAAATAATTATTGTTTCTCTTACTTTGCGCTTAACTAATCCATAGATTCAAAATGCACTCAAAGAAGCAAGAAATATGTTTTTTTTTAAATAAAAAAAAACTGGTGTATTGGGATCAGCCTACATACAAAAAGGATTAGAGGGGGTGGTTATTAATAGTTTCCTTTTTTAAAAACAAAACAGAGGCTTGAAAAGACGAATGACTAAATAATGACATGTGCAATTCCAAAAAATTCAAAAGCCCTACCGCTGCAGTCATATACTCTGTGCATGATGCACGGATAGTAAATGGAGAAGGAAAGCAAGTACTCGGATGCTCTTGTTTTTATTAGTTTCCTTGTAAGGCAATAAAAAAAATGGAGAAAAAGAGAGCTCAAGGCTTTGGAGGTGATGCATTTAAATTCGCTCCATGTCGCATTTTTTTCTTACTGTATACTCAAAAGATACACAGGGAAAATAAAAATCACACCATGCTTGTTATGTGCCACACCAATGCTTTTTTCTGCGTAACATGTGGAGTAAAAAAAAAACATTTATTGAAATAATAGGTGCACAAACAAGGTTTAAAAATTAGTCTATTACGAGTTAGTCTTTGTCTGTATGTCTAGAACGAGAATATAAAAAAGAAAAGAAAAACAAAAGAAAAAACATTAGCGCATTAAAAGAAATATAATACGCCTTACAAACAAACAACAAAAAACTACCTGTTGTTCAAGGCTGCTTGAAAGTCTGTGTTCATATCCATAGGTCCTTTATCAGCCAGATCACCAGTAGTATTCCTTTGGCCAGTAGATTTAGTGGTTAGCCGTTTAGGATTGAGTTTACGACAAGCAGATTTGAATTTAGACGAAAGCTCCCTAACAGGAGACACTGGTCCATTATCTGAAGAACCCGCCATACGATATGTCTTTGCCCTCAATGTTCTTGGTCGACGCATCTGATAACGTCCAGGAGTTTTCGTTGCACCAGTATTACTTCTACCCTGCGGTACCGGACCTACTGGTTGATCAATGTTGTCGTCTCGCAGGTCATAGTTTTTATACATTACAGAGTGTTGGCTCTGTCTATGTCCATGGCGACCCAGTTGTTGCGAAAGTCTGTCGGGGTCGGTTTTATAAGAAGCTGTGTGATGGCCCATAGGTAAAAGCGGTGATTCGCATCGACTTGGATACGAATCCTCGGTTTCGGCAATCGATGCTACGACAGAAGCACGACGCTCATCATCGTTTCTTGCGGCGGCCACCGATGTATTTATTGCCTGCAAGTCCTTGCTCATGATTATTAAAGTATATAGGTGTATAATATGAAAAAAAAAGTAAAGAAAGAAAGGAGAGGGGGGGATTGTGATTACAAAGCGTGGATAAAGTGAAAGATAAAAATATATATTATTTGGCTAGAGAGTTTGGAGGAAGCAGAAGAATTGCTATTTCTTTTTGGTTCAAGTTTGATGGTGCACTTGGCCATGTGTAAAGTTATTTAAAGAAAGCTGGTTTAGGCGGACTACAAAAGAACGGTCAAAATAAGAAAGAATCAACCTGGACTATCTTTTTTTGTAATAGAGGATTTACTAATAAAAAAGCCAGATAACAGAAAAAAACAAAGCAGGATAAATCAGCAAAGAGCTTTTATATTCTGCGTGGTCTTTTTTAAATGGTTTTGTTTAGCGAGATATTAAACAAGATGTAGAGTAAAAGCTAGGGATAACAAGCAGAGACAAAAAATACGCCTTTTCAAAATAAAATAAAATAAAATAAAAAAGATAACTGAAAAACATGTGTCTTTGGTGAAGAAAAGTGGTTGCTCTTTATATGGACAGGCTTTGGGTCTCCTGTTCTCCGCGCAAGAGTGAAGGCAGCAGCATCTGGTGGTTTTTTTATCGGCCTTTGTGACTGGAGGAAACAAGCACAATTGGTGCGCTCTGTCAATTAATAATGCACCATTTACTCTGTATTTTTCCTTCCCATTTGCTCACATGAACAAATCATTTCTTGGCTTGTACGACTCGCAAAAAAAATGTCTGCATTTCTTATGCCTCGTTTGTCCTCGGTACTTATCGTGGCTGAATTTGAGCGTGCAGCAAGGGGACATGTCATTTACAACCCATACATACAGCGCGCATATTATTTACTGCCTCTGCAGCATGCTTCAGACCTGCAAAAGAAAAGGCGAATTAGGGTAGCTCTACGTAATAAATGCTTGAAACGGCGCTTGCCTTCTTTGCCTCTCACATCAAGCCTTGCCTGCGAGTAATGTGTTTTTGTGTTGCTTGGTGGTCTGCCGGATGTTTTGGCAACTGGAAAAGGAGTGTGTGCCGAAAATAAAAACACACCACACAAAGAACAGGATGCGCAGCTCTCTCTTTTCCCCCAAGCAAAAACAAAAGACGACTGCAATTCGGCTCCTTTGGAAGCAAGCCAACAAACCAAGCACGTTGTTAGTCTCTCTCCACTACACGCGCCCAGCAGGCACACCAATAACAAAGCACCAGCCACTCGCTTCGCCAGACTTAAACAAGTAAACAACATCGCTTGTTCTCTATTAAAATGCCTTTGTCTAGGTCGAAAAAGTCATGTTACCCGAAAAGCCCTTGGCCATTTGCTCGTGCGCCACCCACGGCTCGTTTGCAAGCTCCGCCGAAATATCCGTCGACACCGGGTCCTCGTTGCGCCACGGTCCGTACACAGACATGTTGCGCAGCTTGCGCGCGCACAGCACGTAGTAGTCCACCCCCATCCAGTACTTTTGCGACGACCGTAGCGCCGTCATGACGATCTCCAGCCGGTCCTGCATCCGCCGGATATCAGTGAGCGTCCGCAGCTGCGGCGCTGGCGACAGGTCCTCGACAAAGTCCGGCACCAACATAGCATCGCCTCCCACGCCGTTCAGATATTCGCTGGACTCGTTGTCGACAGACACCGATGAGCTGGGCAGGATGCCGTCTCCGTTTTCGCTTGTTCCGCCCGTGTTCTTGCGCCGTGCCAGAATATAGGCCGACATCTTGGCGTGGTGCAGATACATGATCATCGTCTTGGCCGCCAAAAACACAAAGTAGGATGTGCCGGCCAGCTGCATGCGGAACGGATCCATGTCCATCTCGCCATCCATTCCTTCCGCCTCGGCCTCGTCCGAAGACTCAAAGTCAACTTCGCCTGCGCTGGTCATGTTGATGCGCGGCAGGCGACGGCGACGGCCGGTGGTGCTCTTTTTGGCCTCGCCTCCGGCAGCGGTCCCCGCGTTGCTACCCAGCAGCGAGTCGCA